CATCCCATGTTCAGCTGAATTACAAGAAAGTTAAAAAAGTAAGTATTTCTTAAAAACTGCAAAACACATGAAAGCTCTGGTTTTTCCAAGAGCCACTATCTAATGACTTTTCTGGGAAATTTAATGTTTGTTTCATTTCCCAGAGGACTCTGGAAATCCACCCAATTGACAACTTAAACTGACATTGCATTAAGAACAATATATTTTAACCTTATTCACTTACACAATTCTTCAAAATTGCAGTAAAATATTTAATGAACTGGTGCTTCCTTAGATAGCAACTGAGTATATTAGCAGCCCAGAAAATCAATGTGTGTTAAACTGACATATGTTCTAAATTATTACAAATACTGTACACTCTCATCTAGTTTACCTATTAGTTATAATGAAAAGAATGAGGACAACTGCAGCAGAAGAACCAGTCCATGACACAGTCTGGCAACTGCTAATATAGACCACTATTTCATGGAACATACCCAAACTTAATTTGGGGTAAAAGACAATTGTAGGATTCAAAAATTTTAGACTGTCATCTGTTTTCAGACCTGTCTCTAACGAAAACACAAACCAGTTTCCATACAGAAGGCCAAAGATTGCCCCTCCACCTCTGAGAAAAGATAAGTGCTTTTATTTAAATCAAATCATGCAGATTGAGAGTGATGGCTAAAGGTCACAGAAACACCTTTATAACATCAGTAAATAGCTAATTCTGAAAAAGAATATAATATTATTGCTGATATCCTCTGACCTCAAAAAACACAGGTTGTTAACATTACTAGGAGGATGTTAAATAGAGAGCCTGTAAGGAGTAAAGTTGAAAAGAAGTATTTACTGAGTAACAGGCAATCAAAGGGAAAAGAAACAGCAAAATATCTATTTCAAAACTTTTTTTTTCCAGCTAAAAATAGAAGGCTGTTCACAACCACAGGATTCCATTCAGTCAAATTAATCATAGAGAGGCGTGGATTAAATTTAGATTAAAAAGAAATTCTTTTCATCCAGAAAGGTTAGCTCAGAGGCATTCATGAGCAAGACAGCAAAATGAATGATCAGGATTTAGAGAGAATCAGCTGATCCAAGAATCTACATCCAAACAGCCCAGAGCTCTGGCACTAAAAACCATGCCCAGCCCAAAACCTCAACTACAGTTTGTGTGGCAGCCAGGAGTACTGTCAAGGCTGGTCTCTGTGGCTCTGACAGACTCAGAGGGGAAAAAGGACACTCTAATCAGTTCATGTTTATTAACATCACTTGATTATGGAATGGTTGTGCCACTGCATAAACACAACAGTCAGTATCTCCTCTCCCTCCAACAAAAAAACATTACAAATGCATGAATAATAAGATTGAAAACACTGTTGTTAGGTAGCTAATATTACTAAATGTGCTAATTCATGGGGGGGGTATGTAAAATGCAACAAAACTTTTAAAGCGATGTATCTTTAGAATGAGATGCCGCAAATTCAGTTCATCTGGCTGGAGCGTGGATTCAAATATGTTAATTTCATTTTTGTAAGAGGTTCCATATTACAGGAATACAGGAAAAATGGAAGAATGGAATTTGTAAAGAAAGAGGACAATACCAAAAATAAGGTGAACAGCTAAAATCTAAGTGGGAATTCACAATTAATTTCATTATTAGAAAAATTTATTGTCTAAGAATGAGAACCACTTGGGCTTACTTGACTGCTACAGCAGTTCAGAAAGGCACACTGGATGCTGATTTGGAAGGTTAGTAAGAGAGAAAAGACTGAAGAATTTTCTGTAGGGGAAAAAAACCCCAGTACCCAGAACCTCTCAAAAAAAAGGGGCAACAAAGACAATAATGGAAGTAGGTGACTAGCTATTTTTACTTCCTTTATTTATTTAGGAGACTATACCAAAGGAAAATTCTGAAATCCCAGGTTTTTACTTTTTCATTACACTTTTTATCCTGTAAAAATCAGAAGATTATTATCAGCAATGTTTTTATAGCATTTAGTGAAAAAAGCTTCACTTCTACTTTCAATGCATAATTATAAGTTTTTTAGTACAATGACAAGACTGTTCAGCTATTTAATGTTTGTGTTTAAACATCAGACAAGTTCATCCTATGGTTTATGTTTTCTTTTCACTTTTCTAATTCATAAAACATCTCATCCATTTTCTCATGCAAGAAATTCAAATGAGATAAACATTCAAATGTAGAACCAATACCGAATTTTTCTATTGCAAAAATATATCTGATTTTCTGCATTTACTACTCTCAAAAAAAGCAGTTACTTATTTAATGTTTGTTGGTTTTATACTTTTATATCAACTAAAGCTATGGATATAATCTAAATTCAAATTAAAGTTTTAATTTAGACACTAAGAACTTATTTAAACATTTTGTTTTAATTAGAAACTTTATTTCATAATCTTTTTCAGTTAATGAGTACATTTGCCAGTTTTAAAAGCCTGCAAACACCATAAAGACTATTTTTCTTGCAAAAATCTTTAAATTAGCACATATTAATTAAACTGTGCATGCAAATAGCCTTATAAAGAAAAAGCCATTTTATACATTTTAGTTTCATTTTTAAAACAACGAATGTGTAAACCACTAAAATCAGAAATAGTTCATCTTTTTGATTTCAACACGCTCATTAAAAACCCTAAGCAAATACATCCCCTTATCAGACCATAAACATTTGACTGTTTAGTTTTATACATCACTAAGAGCTTGTTTGGAAATTTCTCATACATGGATATGCATCTATTTGTCAGTGTGAACACTAAACACCAGCTTGTCAGCTATCACAAGTTCTTTCTCTCCCTCCACAAGAAAATGTGCACAGAAAAAACCCTCCACTTTCCTCTCTCCAGCTTGCCAGTGACATGCCACAACACACCGTGTCAGAGCAGAGAATCCAGCTTTCATCCTGCACTTTCAGACTTCGTGTAAACTCATTTTGCAATATTAAGATAGAGTTCAGCTTTTGTAAACAATATTAATATTAAAGCATTAAGACTAGAATAGTGTAAACCAAAGTTTTCTCATTTCTGTGCCAGCAACTGCAATAAGATGAGGAGCTTTCACTGACACTCCTTTCAGGCCTCACTCTCTGCTCCCATGTACTGTGTGTTACTCACAATTTATCTCTGCTTTCATGGGTAGCAATAGCATGAGCTGATAATATGCCAAACCAATGAACTCTTACTTCATTCACTTCAGGGTAGCTTAAAGTTTTAACTGGGGGATTTTTTTTGGTTTTGGACTGAGAAAGTAGGGTGAAGGCAAGGCTGAATTTTACTATTCACATGCTTTATTTTGTATAGGTGATGGAGTACTAGAAGAGACTGATATACACATTTTTTGAATGTAAATATATTAACATACATAATCCACAGAGACAACATAACTTGAATAGCATTCATTCACACAGAAAACTGAGTAAAATAATCTATCCCTATTGCAGATATTCTATGCCTCCATCTCTATCTGGTCTTTATACAGCTGGATGATACACCAACTCCTGCAGCATGTCTCTAAAATCTCACTGCAGAGAGAAAACTTTACTGTTTGTTTTTTAGCTGTCTCATCAAAACAGCCTTCAGACAGCTCCATACCTTCAACACCATTAGAAGATATCACTGACAATGTCACTGCAGTTTTAAGGTGATTTGTCTGAATGGTACCAGAAGAAACATCCATAAACAAGGTGTGTGACTGCCCAAGGTACACAGGTGCTACTACTTCTCCTAAGCCTAGTCTCCACTAGGACATAAACGTGACAAATTGCAAAATAACTTGCTTTTAAGCTTCCTTTGAATACATAATTTACAATTGAAGAATTCAACCTTTGGTCATTCACATGGGCAGCTGCTACTTTCAGCCCTCACTGTGTGAATCAAGTCAGGACTGAAACGTCTCGTGTTTCTGCCTGCCACCACAAGAAGGACTCAAATCCAGAGGCACAAAATTCCTAATAAGGAGGGTCACAAGACTTTCTGCTATTCTACTGTATATTTAATGTTAAGTTTTCTACCTCACTTAATTTATTACTCTTTCATGAGAAAAGAGGTCACTGGTAACATTTCACTAATTCTCACTGGTCACCAGGTTGGCATATACAGCTGACAAAATACAGTTGTTTTTTCTTTCCTTCCTTTTTTTCTTTACTTTCCTCCTGTTTAAAACATAAACGAAAAAAATATTGCCTTTGTAATACACAAGCAATCCTTTTCCTGTACTGTCTATAGCTGTAGGCCTTCCATCAGTCTTTTTCACCACACTTTTAAAGCCACTTCAACATTAAGGAGCTCCATAACTGCATGGCAACTGGCTGGCTGCCAGCAAGCTGCAAAACAAACGCCCCTTGTATTGACATTACAGGTTCCTTGATCATATTCAATAAAGCACCTTTGATGTTAGCACTATTGGTTAATATCATCTTACAGGGTCTTGAGGGAGAGGTTATCAAGTCTGTAAGACAGATCATAAAGCCAGAAAAGACCCTCTAGTGTTAGAATACAAAAAAGTTTATGTCCTGTGAGGTAAGAACAGTATTTATAGGTGGAGGAAATGTCAAAATACACACATCATCTATGATTCACCATTTTTTTGAGTAACATTTGGTGAACCACAGATCCCACTTTGTCTGAGAAAACCCAAGCTGTTTTCTCGTTATCCAGCCTTAACAGAGAAGTCCCCATGGGACACTAAACAACCAACCATGCTTGGGTACCTTTCTGTCACCCCATATCCTCCTGACCTTCAATTGTTATATCCAGGCAGCTGCCTCTTTCTTTCCTGATCTGGCATGCTCTCAGAGCAGTCTGTCACCCTGCCCACAATGTGGTGCTTCAACACTTGGCAGGTACAAAGCAAAACTTCTAGTGCTCTAGTACTGTGGGCTGTTTGGTTTAGTGAGACCTCTTTAAGTACATGAAGTCATAAAAGCAGAGACTGACAGGCCTCCCATATGATTCTAAAACAAAAGGGGCACTGGTCCAGGAAAAAAAAAAAAAAAAAAAAAGAGGTGGTGCAATACACAGTGCCTTGATTCAGCATGCTCCAAAGGGAATGACCCCTGGAAAGGTAGAAATCTTTCCACATCCTTTACTGAAATATGGAAGGTATTCTAGGTTTTGGTGGTGGTGATTTTTGCTTTTTCTTTTCTTGCTTCATTTGCTGGCATGTCCAGCCCTGGAAGTCATCATCTTTTTCTCTCATCTTTAGTTTTCTGTTCTGCTGTGGGAAATCCCCAAAAGCACCCAGCTTCTCATCCTCTTTTTCAGCTATAGTAAAATTTCACCTTTCCCAGCCCTCTAGTCACAGAACAGCACCTGGCTAAATGTTATGACCTGGCAGATTCCTTCTAGTACTAAGCTGGAGAAAACAACATCCCTAACATCTCATTTTAGTCTGGGACAGGCCTGGTAATGAGCAGGTAAAATGACCCTGCTGGAGGGACAGTATCAGCGTGTTGTGGTCTCAGGCCTGCCTCCAGCATTGGCCATCAACACGTGCTAGTGAACTGTGTAAGTACCAAGCAGTCATACAACGTTTGCTTTGCTATTATACTCTTCTAGCTTGCATTAACCAGAGGTTTATTAGCTCCCAGATCTCTAAAAATTTCTCTCCCCTGATTTTTTAGTTGTAGCAGGAAAAGACAGGAAAAGGCTATCACAGATCACTTACATGAGAAAATAAGATATCCTATTTCATTTTTGTGAAAACACACAGGCACAGATAGAGATGATCTTCATCATCCATTAAATGTTGGATTATGCTCTCATATTGGCTGAAGTTATTCAGCAAGGTACAGTCAATCAATCTAGCCATATGAAATAGGTGATATTATTCTATTCCTTGGGGCAGCTCCTCCCTCTTTCTCCTGTTCTGTCTGCACAATTCAAGGGCTGCTGCCTCTTCACTTCCAACATGTTCACATTCAGTGATATTTTCCCTTTGGCTCAGCATCTTGTGCACGCTCAGGTTGGCCATAGCTCCCATTCCAGGAACAGACAACACACTTGTGAACACTGGTGGGAAAAACCCTCAGCCCTGCAGGCTCTGAAATATGATTCATTCTATCTTATGTCACAGACAAAGACACTAGAAATAGATTTTCAATAATAAAAATACTTCCTTATAAATCTGCATGCTGGGAGGAACACCTGTATGTTTATTTACCATCTTCCTGTATGAGACGTTTGGCCCAAGTGATTTGATGCCATAAGGCAGATATTGTAAACTAATTAACAGATGTATACAATTCCTTCAGAGATGAACTGTCCAGGTTATCACAGTGCAGCAAACCAATATCCAAACACCATCTCATGATATACTCTTAGCAGTGAGGAACTTCCCGGTGCCACAGCCCCCAAAAGAAGCAATATTTCTCACTCCTGCATTTTTGTATCATTGTGTTCCTTTTTCAGCTATGATCTTCAGGTAAACATGCTTTTTCAAGATATTTTACATTCATTTCAATATGCTTCTCTGAAAATGATATGCTTTCTTTGAAATAGAAAACTACAGAATAACATATTCAGAATAAACTATGATCATACTGTGATTAAAAATACATTTAGCAGGGAAAAAAATCTCATAAGTGAGTAAAACTTCTAATTTGTGAATGAACTGATGAGCTACTAAACTCCACAAAGAAGTTATAAGTGTAAGATCACCTAAATACTTTATACCATGACTATGACTCAGTTGCCTTTTAACAGTGTGCATTCATTAAACCATTAAAAGCTGTCAGTTCTTATTAAAATTCATTTGTATATATACATATAAAACAAAAAAGTGCCTGAGATATAAAAGAAAATTTCTGTAGAAGAGGAGGAAAGGAGACATTAAGAGTAGCGAGAAAATTATGTAGATGCAAAGAAAAACAAACACTAAACCCAACAGTGTTCTCTCAACTCTATAAATTAAATTTAATCACCCTTTCCAAATGTTCACTTCAGATGCAAGTATTCGAGAGCAATGAATTCAGCTGAGAGTTCTCAACACTCCAATACATGGGTATTGTTTTTTAAAAAAAATTAATGTTCCTGGACTGCAGCCGTGGCCCTCAGCAATCAGTTGGGTGAAAGTGTCTACAAGTTTTATAAGCACAAATGGTTAAGGAAAGTAAATTCAGAGGCACAAGTGAGCATTCAAAGAAAGTAGTCAGGTTCAGGCAAAAATATTGCAATCTGAGCACCTACCCACTTGAAAAACAGAAGCATCAAAGATTAGTTCATCATCCTAATTCCAACAGCACACGCCAAGTGCTGGCACAGAACACCTGATGCTTAATTCAGGCAGAACATTTTGCTCCCCAACAGCTCTAATGCTCCCCAAATAATCATTATATTTTGGTAAACAATTTTCTGAGCATTAGAAAACACTTTCAGTAGGAAGAATAACCTTTAGAAGAATGGAGAGAGGGTGGCAGTTTGGCTATAGTGGGAAAAAAAATACAGATAAAGAATAGGAATCCCTGAAAGTGTCATTTTCACTATATTTAAGAGGGAGTACAGAGGCATAAAAAGGGGAAAACCCTAGAACAGTATCAAATTGCCTGGATCTGCAACAATCATTATCGATTTTAACTGTAAAAAACCCCATATGTAAAAAATAATGATGTCTCTAATACTTGGTCCCTGTTCTAAACAAAATTGAGGGTAAATATATTGCATAGCTTAAAGAACATTCATTACTAGTTTTAATTGTGAAAGTTTGTTAGAGATCCAAACAAACAGCTGAAATTCTAAAGAACCCAAAGAACAGTAATTGCAAAGACAGTTTTCAGGTCAGCCAGTGAGAGAAGAGAGTTTTTGAAAGACCTGAAGTCCTCATACTTCCAAACAACTTAATAGATTTGGGTAGAGATAAAATAGAGCAATGAGTGTGTTTTCAACATTGGATGAATAAAATTAGATCTTTTAAAATGCTTTAAATGTTCCCTGCATTTTTGCCCATTACCAAATCTGATTTTTAGTATATACTAATACTTTAATCATTCTGGGTTTATGCATTTGAGCTCCACTGCTGCTCAGAGAGGAAGAAAACAAAAAGATCCTCCTCATGCTACATAATATATGGCTAAAGCATTAGAAACTGAAAAATCCAAAAATGTAAAAAAATGAGACAACCACATTTTAAGCATTACTATTTCAGGAAATTCAGAGATGTCTCAACTTCTGAGAAACTTGCCTTTCATTACAGGTATTACGTGTTGAGGATAAGATCCCTACTTTCATTTTTCTATTCAAGTTTTTATATCTTTTTTCTTTCATTTTCTTTCAATAATCCTATAAAATCAAAAGGTCACTAGTGATTTTGCCCATTGCTTATATCTGACAAACGTTAATATTAAAAAAAAAACAGTATTTAGTGGAAAACTGGATGTATAAGAGAAAGTTTTAACTAAGGTTTAACTAAGGTTTGCAGCACGGACTTCCAGTTCTTTGCACTTTTGCGAACCAGCGAATTTCCTTTTATAGTTGGAAGTTAGTATAACAGCCACATTTATGTTTACAAACTGTGCTTACATATTAAGCACTAGATAATGTTATTAATGGAATTTCAAAAGTTAGCACACTTGAGTTCATTAATGTAATGACATTAAAGGTGAGCATTTTTACTTCTTCAGCGTGAGATGACTTTTTGATTCACATAATGAAAAACCGAAGCCAAACAACCTGGGTTTTCTTTGCAAACCTACCATATGTTTTTCTAAAATAACAAGTTTAACCTTCAAAGATGTGTATGGCATAAAAGAGGCAGTCAACTGGTAGTTTACTTTGCTTTTTATAGACGCATTACTCTCTATTTTCACTGAAAAAGGCCACACATGCTATTTTAAAGTCTGATGACTCTGGCCTTTTTAGTGTAAACCCTCAGCCCCTCCCTGCCTCCTCCTCAAATCCTCAGACTGTCCAGTGACTTGAACAAAGTATTGCTTTTTCTGCACAAGCATCTCGCTCCTAAATCAATATACCAAGGTGAAGGTAGCTTGTCATTTCCTGTCACAGGATACCCTTCTAAATTACTCTTTTAAGAGTTCAGCAAATCATATTTCAAGAAATGACCATTTTTGCTTCCTTTCTGATTCAACATGTTAAAAATAAACACCAGCCACACTTGTGAAGTCCACAGCCAGATGAGGGTATTTCAGATCAAAAATAAACATAAAATTATTTCTTTTCCCAGCTATAGCAACTTATGTTTGGAATCAAAAAAGAAAGCAATCCTTAGGTTGGGTATTTTTAAAGACACTTAGAAAAGTAGAAAAGAGATTTGAAGAAATTACAGTAAAGTATTTCCCCTACTTTAAGATTTTATGTTGGAGCATGCATTCTTGATTGATAAAATCCAAATGTCTAAAAAAAGGCTTAATATATCTCAGTTTAATCTTTACTAATCTGAAACGTGTTGGAATTAAAAGCAGTTAAAGTTACAGGCTTTCATATCAAGATGTTTTGCTTTGGAGTTCACAACGTTTTAGATGAGGAATTGCCACATATGCTATACTATTTGCACAATTCTCATCTCTGAGGAAAAATTACAGCCCTCTATTAAAACTTCATTTTGATTATGAACAATTTCAAGCTATAAATTAGGACACACAGAATCATAGAAGGGTTTGGTTTAGAAGAGACTTTAAAAATCATCTCGTTTCAAACCCCCTGGTTTGGGCAGAGACACCTTCCACTAGACTGGGTTGCAGAGGGAAAAGACATCTTATATGATTCTCAAAACCCTGGCATGGAAGATTTAGGACTTCAGAGGAACTTCCCTATCTCTACAACTCTGCTCATGCCAACATGTGTTTAACCTCTTATACCTGAGCAATTCTGTTTATTTCCAAAGTTAAGCACACACAGATTCTGTTTCACTTATTTCCATACATTGTTAATTTTATGTCTGTCAAGATAATTTTAAAAATATCTAAAGGTTTAAATCAAAGAAAGTAATCAGTAATCATCCGCCCAAAATTACAGCTTTAAAATATTTGTTCTGAGGTTAAAATGAAAAAACAGTGTTCAGAGTTCTCCCATTTCTTAAATCTAATTAACCAATGCTGAAAAAAAAATTAA